AGATCATATCTTCACTCTTCGACAGATTCTAGAACATAGACACACTTTTCGGCGTCCAACAATTGTCATATTTCTTGACTTGAAGGCGGCCTTCGACTCCGTGGACCGAAAAGTACTATGGCAATGTCTGACTGTGAAGGGAGTGCCAAGAAAGTACATTGCACTAATCAAGGCACTCTATTCAAACTCACGTAGTCGTGTAAGGGCTTATGGGGAATTGTCATCTGAATTAGTAACAACCAGTGGTGTCCGACAGGGATGTCCACTTTCCCCATTTCTGTTTAACTTCATCATAGATATGCTAATGGAAGTATCCTTAACTGAACGTAGTGACTTAGGAATCGACTTGTTACCAGGGAATAATCTAATGGACTTAGAATATGCAGATGACATAGTCCTGTTAGGGGAGGATGCTGACAAAATGCAGAGTCTTCTGAACACCTTGAGCAGCAATCTTCGTATGTTTGGCATGCGATTCGCCCCTGCAAAATGTAAGATGCTGCTACAGGACTGGACGACGTCAACCCCTAACTTAGTGATAGGGAGTGAAGTGATAGAACATGTTGACCACTTCACCTACTTGGGAAGTTGTATTAGCACCAACGGACTGATTGGCGATGAAATCTCAGCACGGATCCGAAAAGCTCGAGCTGCTTTCGCTGACTTACACCATCTCTGGCGTAGGCGTGACATCCGGTTATCAACCAAGGGACGTGTGTACTGCTCATCAGTTCGCTCCGTCCTTCTCTATGGCTCTGAAACATGGCCAATACGCGTTGAAGACATGAAAAGGTTGACTGCTTTCGATCATAGATGTCTGCGATCTCTGTCTCACGTTAGGTGGTTTAATAAGGTAAGTAATGTTGACGTTAGGCGTAGAGTGTTGGGCAAAGAGGGAAAATCAATCGACGAGGCTATAAAGTTACATAGACTAAGATGGCTAGGTCACGTGGTGCGCATGCCTAACCACCGCCTCCCCCGACGGGCATTGCTAGCTGATATAGGTTCAGGTTGGAAAAGAGCCAGTGGTGGCCAAACAAAAACATGGCATCAATCCATGAAATCCTTGACAGTTAAACTGAGTCAGGTAGGGAGATGCAGACTCCCGGGTTGGGGCCCTCGGGACTCTAGGAATCAATGGCTGGAGACAATAGGTGACATGGCTCAAAATCGTTGTCAATGGCGCAGATGTATTCAGTCTCTGTAATCTTTCATATTCCTTTCTACCATTACCCATTCTGTTTCACTCTTATACTTGTCAAACTCTATTAATTCTCTTCACTCATCTTCTTGTCTACCTCTGTGTGCTATTTGGAACGTGGCAACTCGAACTGCTGCACTTCGGTGCCAAGTTCTATGTTGAATCCAGACAGACAGAACTATCCTATACATGATATTATTTATTTTATCACTGTCTGTCTGGATTCAACATAGAACTTGGCACCGAAGTGCAGCAGTTCGAGTTGCCACGTTCCAAATAGCACACAAAGGTAGACAAGAAGATGAGTGAAGAGAATCAATACAGTCTGACAAGTATAAGAGTGAAACAGAATGGGTAATGGTAGAAAGGAATATGAAAGATTACAGAGACTGAATACATCTGCGCTGTCCATTGACAACGATTTTCAGCCATGTCACCTATTGTCTCCAGCCATTGATTCCTAGAGTCAGTCCCGAGGGCCCCGACCCGGGAGTCTGCATCTCCCTACCTGACTCAGTTTAACTGTCAAGGATTTCATGGATTGGTGCTATGCCATGTTTTTGTTTGGCCACCACTGGCTCTTTTCCAGCCTGCACCACCTATATCAGCTAGCAATGCCCGTCGTCGGGGGAGGCGGTGGTTAGGCATGCGCACCACCTGACCTAGCCATCTTAGTCTATGTAACTTTATAGCCTCGTCGATTGATTTTCCCTCTTTGCCCAACACTCTACGCCTAACGTCAACATTACTTACCTTATTATACCACCTAACGTGAGACAGAGATCGTAGACATCTATGATCGAAGTAGTCAACCTTTTCATGTCTTCAACGCGTATTGGCCATGTTTCAGAGCCATAGACAAGGACGGAGCGAACTGCTGAGCAGTACACACGTCCGTTGGTTGATAACCGGATGTCACGCCTACGCCAGAGATGGTGTAAGTCAGCGAAAGCAGCTCGAGCTTTTCGGATCCGTGCTGAGATTTCATCGCCAATCAGTCCGTTGGTGCTAATACAACTTCCCAAATAGGTGAAGTGGTCAACATGTTCTATCACTTCACTCCCTATCACTAAGTTAGGGGTTGACGTCGTCCAGTCCTGTAGCAGCATCTTACATTTTGCAGGGGCGAATCGCATGCCAAACATACGAAGATTGCTGCTCAAGGTGTTCAGAAGACTCTGCATTTTTTCAGCATCCTCCCCTAACAGGACTATGTCATCTGCATATTCTAAGTCCATTAGATTATTCCCTGGTAACAGGTCGATTCCTAAGTCACTACGTTCAGTTCATTTTATCACTGCATATTGAACTATGATTGTAATCACAAACATTTTATCACATTTTACATTATTATTATTGTTCACAAATTTGTTTGAATTTCTTCACGTGATACCCTATTCTGTTCCTTTAGGTTTCGATGGGAACATAGGCCTCCAAGTTAGAGCTTTGAAGTTTCTGTAGCATTGGCTTATTTCACGGGGTGGGGTTGTTAACCTTACGTCCAACCTTGTCTCTTTACCGGCCTTACTACCAGCTTAGTGAGTTTTAGGGGTGCGTCGACCGTGGATCGAACCCCGGACCACGTGTGTAAGTGGCGAGCATTCTACCGGTGGACCACCGACGTAGAGTCACAGGATATAGTTTCTTGAAAAACCATATATATATATATATATATATATATATATATATATAGAGAGAGAGAGAGAGAGAGTTGTCATTTGAATAACTCTCCTATCTTCACTACACTTCAGTAGTATAAAGCAGCAGCCAGCTCAACACTAAATAATTAACAAGTTTTTGTATAGTCTAAGGAAAAGCGTTGAAAATGGACCCAGAGACAAAAGCGGACTTGATGACCCCATTTCTGGAGAAAGTGTGGAAAAAGAGCAAGGTACCTGAGGATTGGAAGAAAGGATATTTATTCAAACTACCAAAGAAAGGAGACTTAAGTCAATGCAAAAACTGGCGCGGAATTATGCTCCTGTTCATCCCAAGCAAAATACTAAGCCGCATCATCCTGGAGAGAATCAAACAAGCCACCCTAGAAGAAAAATTTTGACCGGAACAAGCTGAATTCAGGAGAAACAAGTCATGTATTGATCAGATCGCCACACTACGGGTCATCATTGAACAAAGCTTGGAATGGCAGTCACCTCTCTATCTCAACTTCATCGACTTGGAAAAGGCCTTGGACAGCGTCGACCGAGAGGTCATTTGGCAACTACTTCGCTACTATGGGGTCCCATCGACAATTATACATTTCATCCAACAGTTATACGACAATGCTGCATGCCACGTAATCCACAACGGGAAACTTACAGAATCCTTCGAAGTGAGGACGGGAGTGAGGCAAGACTGCCTACTATCACCAATGATTTTCCTGATTGCAGTAGATTGGATAATGCGACAAACAACGGGCAGTGAGGAAACAGGCATCAAATGGACTCACACAAAAAACTTGGAGGATCTGGACTTCGCTGATGATGACGTATTTCTGATTTCCCACAAACTAGAAGATATGCAAGTGAAAAGCAACAAGCTGGCAGAAGAAGCATCAAAGATAGGAAGGAGTTCAGGTGGACATAGATAAAACAGAGGTGATGAAGATTACTGGCCAACTACAACAGCCACAACAACAACAACAGACAACAATCAGCATAAATGGGAGGAACCTGAAAGAAACAGCCTCCTTTACCTACCTGGGAAGCATCGTTTCAACTACAGGCGGAACTGACGAGGATATCAAAGCTAGAATCGGAAAAGTAAGGCAAGCTTTCATTACTCTTAAGCCAACAGCACTCAGTATCAACTCCAATGTGAAGTCAGTCAGTGCTACTATACGGACCAGAGACTTGCACTGCGCGTCATTAAGAGCATCTCAAACAAACTTCAGACCTTCATTAACAGTTGTCTTTGCTCAATACTCCAGATCAGATGGCTGGCCAGAAAAGATCAGCAACAGGGATCTCTGGCAATGACCGAACCAACACAGCAGGAACCGATTGTGAAACAAATAGGCAGGAAGAAATGGAGATGGATTGGCTGGCCATAGTCTGAAGAAACCATCAAGTGACATCACTAGACAAGCCATTGCTCGAGTGGAACCCGAAAGGGAAGCGGGTGGCGAGTTGGTCGTCAGTGCAAGGGTGAGGGTGACTTGGAGGAGGTCATGTGAAGAGGAGATGAAAGCATGTGGGCAGACTTGGAGTGGGGTGAAAAAGTTGGCAGAAAACAGAAGGTAATGGAGATGCGCAGCTGAAGCCCTATGTTCCTCTAGGAGTTAAAGGATACAATAATAATAATAAGCAAAAAGACATTTATATCTCATGTTTATAATCTGAGTTTAATTGTACAACCATGCACCACTAAGCATTAAGTAGTATAAAGAAAGAGTAAAAAACAAAAATATTAAGAATATCTAATCACTAACGTAAATCTTTAACCGCCACCAAGAAATAAGTAACTAGTATATATATATATATATATATATATATATATATATATATATATATATATATATATATATATATATATTGACTGTACAATGCAAAAATATGCTCATCACATAAAGCTTTGTGTAACCTTAAAATGTAAATTAATAAGAACAAATCAGAAATTCTGTTATTGCCGCTGTTTTTTTTCAGATAAGAAAACAAAGTGTAACGCAGTTATACCTACTAACACCAACAATCAGAATATACGAAAATCCAATAAGAACATCAAATAATGAAAGACAGATTAGAGGAGATAAAAGGTCTCCCTTCACACACACACACACACATACATACATACATACCCCTACATACATACATACATACATACATATACGAAATGTGTATAAACAATAACTGTACAACCTCCAATAGTTGTATCACTTCACTATGATAACACAAAACAATATGAAACAAAACAATAACCCAATAAATGATAAAGAAATAATCCAATAACCAATACAAAACAAAAAAAGACTTCCTGCCTTCCTCAAAAATTGACAATATATATGCAGTAAAAAAAGAATGAATAGAGGATTGCATTTTTACAACTCACTAGAAATTGCCTATACACATACACACACACACATGTATACAATAACACCACTAAACCCATGATTCATTATAACCTGTCCATACAGCAGGTGGTGCAATATACACCCGACGATTGTTCACATAGATCGGCACCACTCCCATATAGGCATTCCGACTAACACCAGATTTAAAATCAGACATAAGTTTAAAGTGTTTTGCAATCTCTTCAAATTCTTTACGATTCTGGTAGACAATTCGAATAGGTTTGGAAATTTCTGACATATCATCTATCTGATTATTAATAAAGGAGTTAATAGTCATTTCTATTGATTCTGTATAAACCAATCTCTGCAAGTTTTCACGATATACACTCTCCTGTAAATACGATAAATCTATATCTTGAAAATTAACTTGTATATCATTTAATTTGATATGCTTTAAATGACTATCAAAATATTGACCTTGTGATATACCGATTCTTCCAAATGTAACAGAACGACTTATTTCTGGTCGAATACATGCTCGTCCTTTACGTACATAGGGTTTGCGTAAATACTCATCCCAGTAGACATCAGGCCAACCATCTCTGATTTCCATCCAAAATGTGTTGAGTAACATCCATCCCAGACCAGGAAAGAAATCCGTTCTATAATAATAGTAATAATAATAACAATAATAATAATAATCGAAAAAGCAGCATACTAACATCGAATAACGAACAATTATGGGTGGCTCAATGGTCTACGAGCTCGCCTTGTAACCAGAAGGTCCTGGGTTCGAATCCCGGTGGGTGCGTACTGCTGAAGAGTCCCAAACAGCTGACCAGTACTCCCAGGTTTTCCAGTGGTTCTCTAACTGACGTCAGCTCATGATTAAATCCTCCATGCAATCAAACAAAATCCCTACAAAACCAATACTTGAAAATTATGGGAATGAAATTTAAAAAAATCTACCAAATTCTCAAAGGATAATAAATGCAGATTATGTCTTTGATTTTCTTTTAAAAAACGTTTTGCCATATAACTATACTCATAAAAGAGCATGTAAACCAGCCTCAATAAATAGTCTTACTTTTAAAGACTATCATTTTTGATTGTGGAAAATTAAGATTTTGTATTCTTTACCTTTGCATTTCAGAACACAACAGAACCTTTTGGCAATTATCATAGTATTTCGTTACTTCTAGTTACATTTAGAGGATAAAAAAACAACTTGCGACTACGGCCAACTGAGTTGATCGATTTAAAAGTGTCAGGCGTATCCATTCTCTATGAACAAGTTCTCCAGGCTGTCAAGAAAGACACCTCTTAAATAAACTAACTGATATGTAATCAATGCATTTCTGCTAACTTCACATAATTAACGACAGCCTTCTGTACAGCCTCAGTATAAACAGTAGAGTGATTGACTTCCTTTGAAAGTTATTTTCTAAAGCTGTTCTTCTGCAGAACCACATCATTTCATAGTTGAAAAGCACTTTTTGTTACTGGATTACTAAGTGGTTACTAGATGTGAGTTAACCAAATATGAGGATCGAAATGGTGAAGCCCTTTCGGTTTTACACACTTATGTGGTTAAATCAATCCAAAAGATTTAATCATTCTAAGGAATAAGAGCAATCAATGTTCGCTGAATGATATATTCTATGGGAACACTGATAATACCTCTAGAACATAGCCAAACTTTGTCTCGCTTTCTATTTGTAGTAAGTACATGCTAAGGCTAAGAAATACCAGAGGTTCGAATGCTTGTGGCTAGCACCTACTGTCCACCTAATGGAAATTTGATGTAGAAGCCAGTAAGTAGCTTCAATTAGGACTTCAACATAAAGGATCTTAATTAACAGGACATTTGGTGATTCTCACAGTGGGTGCAACACCGACATTACTATCGTTATTTCTAGTGGGACATAGGGCTTCAACAACACATCTCCACATTGTTCTATTTTCTACTGTCCTCTTTAGCTTGGTTCACGAAGGTCCATAATCTCTCATCTCCTTCTCGCCACACGATCTCCTCCATGTCACCCTCGCACCGACGACCCACTCGTCGCCTCCCATTATTGGGATTCCAACCGAGCAATGGCCTGGAGCGTGATGTCATTCGACGGCCTCCTCAACGTATGCCTTATCTATCTCCATTTTCTTCTACATATCCGTAGAACAATAGGTTCTTGGTTAGTTTGCCTGCATGGTTTCTAGTTGCTAACACCGACATAATAAAGAGGATATTCGTCATCTGTTCTGAGGAGACTTAAAACAACAGATATAGTAGCTGAAATACCAAAAACATTAGGATATACTTCCAAAATATTAGAAAGCATTACTTACCTATACAATAAGTCCGGGCGCCTAACATCAATTAATTGTAGTCTTCCGTTGTCATTGAAAGCAGATACACAGAAAAGTGTATTATCTCGAGCTAAAATTGGAAACGTTCCAACAAAATAGCTCAGAAAATCTGGTGCTAAATCCAGATCGTCTTCTACGATTATTACAGCTGAGAAATTACGTACTAGAAACATTTGATCTAAGGCCCATTTGTAATGATGGCTAACGTGCCTGTAACCTTCAAATACACGGCGAGTAGGTCCCGTAACTAAAAACGACATAATTTAAGTGATTTACTTGTGTTTCTATGCAAACAAACTTTTAAAAACTAGTTTTAAAGAAATAAGCATAGAAAAATACAAAAATTAGTAGATGACTGCATTTTTCCAATTAAATACCAGTTTTCTTTTATTGTTTACTAATTTTCCATCTCAAGCCATTAGAGTCTTCACACATAATCCAGATGATACAAGTAGCATATTCCAAACGAACCTACGTTATTTAAAAAATGATAATCGCGCCAAATTCATATAGCAATAATTCACCAGTATGAATGGGAAGGGTTAAAAATGAAAGTACAACCGAGAGCGAACAATAATGTTGCTCAGTACTTATAATGATTTAGTTAATTACATCCCAGTGAAATTGATTACTTCACAAATAGATTTTAAAACTATATAGTGTTTTTGTCAAGCGAGAGACAATAAAAAATAATCTCAACACTGTTTAGCGTCAATGAATGACATAAACAATCACGGACTATTATTACCATTATCCCTTCAGGCTCTGAATGGAACAAAACGCTTCAGCAGCACATCTCCATATTATCCTGTTCTTCTCTGCAGTCTTCGTTAGCTGGCTTCACGATTGCTCATAGTCTCTCATCTCCTCCTCCTCCTTACCATATTACCCTCGGACTCAGGCTTAACTCGTCGTTTCCTATTCAGGCTCCACTAGAGGGCTTGGCATACAATGTGACTCAACGGTCTTTCACAGTGTATGTGTGTGTGTGTCTGATCTATCTCTACTTTCCTTGGCATATTTCTTGAACAAGAAGTTCTTGGTTGATTCGTTCCCAGAGTACCTTGTTGCTAATTCTTTCTGGTCATCTGATCTACAGCATGCAGTGATAATATCTGTTGATAAGAAATTTGTTCAAAATGCTTTCGGTGACATGCTAAGTCTCTGAACCATCTATATACAAGGACTGATTTGACATTAGTTTCGAAAACCCGTACAGTGACAATAAATAACCACATACAATTTCGTAAATGCGAGTCTAGCTAGCAGAAGATGAAAAACGTGGACAAATAGATCTTAACCTAGTTGACGAATGCTAACGTACTCATTCACCTTCACATTCAACGACACCTAAGGGAATCGTAAGCCAAAACGAAATAGTTTCCCAGTGTAACCTGATTTGCAATAGTATCCTAGCAGATATAGATTACTGATACTTAACTACAATTAGACAAACGTTAGACTACACTCGTATATTAATCACAAGGATAGACAAACATATCAAAATGAAACATTGTACAAAAGTTCAAATGGTTAGATTTCGAAACAGCAGCACAGGAAACCAATATGAACGAATAAAATAAAATGTAGAATACTTCTTGGCTGAGAATATGATCATCTTCACTGAAATATTTCTCTAGTTCATCTTTTCTTAGTAAATGCTCCCACTGTTACTATAGTCAGTCATCACCTTCAGTATGATTTGATTTTTGGTAAAGAAAGAATATGATTTTTCTCACGTATTTATGAGAATCTGTTTCGCTAATCTGACTAATTATTGAATGTTATTTTTCTTCAAGTTGACTGACTTCCTCTGATTTTTATTAAGTACTTGAATATAAATAAGTGTTTCCTGACTAACTGAATTTTTAATCTGGACTAATTGTTGTTGCAACTTGTTTCCTTTATGATTGATTTGCCTTGATTTGATTTTATGAAACATATATCTGCTTTGATTGATTATCGTCCTAATATCCGATTTGCTGTTGTTGTTTTTTTTCTATAAACACGGCTTCAACATGAACTTCCTTTTATACACTAGTTAAATTGTTTTGATAACTTCTGATCGATCTGGATTATGTGTTCCCGTCCCCTTGATTCTTCTTACCAATTTATATGAAGGATAAAAAACTTAATGAAGACAAATACCAACTACAACTAAAAAATAACATCCAAGGTATAAAAAAAACATAAAGCAGGATGGTATTCTTTGGTTGAAACGTTAATCAAAGAATCCACGTACTTAAAATACCTCTACAGAAGGGCTATGTTAAACCAATAGTTAAACCAATACATTATATTTTCCACCGCCAACTTTAAAATATGCCGCTGAAGATGATGACTAGAATACAGGCGAAAGCTTTTAACAAGAAAATATCAGCTGGAAAAATACTTCATCCTTCACAGATATAGAGTTAATACTATTGCTGATATAAGAACAAAACTAAGGCACCGTGATGATGTCTAATTCTATCAGCATAATTTCATTTGATAAGAATCACATATTGATACAGCATTATTTATTTGCTGACGTTACGAGTACGATTCATTGCTCATAATCATATCAAGGCACTCATATAACTCTGTTTATATAGTTTCGTTATTTTTTATCCTTCAAATTCATTCGTAGTAATAGTTTCTACATCTCTGGTATTGCAATTGCGTCAGATTCAATGATCAACCACCTACTCCGCTGAATCTTTGTCCATCGAATCTACACCTCACACACGTGATAGAAATGATGCAATGGCAAAACCAGATGTAAGGGAAATATTACTACTAATGAAATCAAAGGATAACAAATAATGAAACTATATAAACAAAGTTACGTGAATGTCTTGATATGATTATGAGCAATGAATCGGGCTCCAAAACGTCAACAAAAAGTAATACTGCAAAAATATGTGATTGTTATCAAATAAAATTAATCTGTGGTGGAATGATACTACTAATGATACTAATACTATTAGTACCACTATTATTTATTTTATTTTTGATTACAGCTTGATTCCACACTGTATTTTTGGTACAATTATGGGATTTTCAGCATGGATATCGGTAGCCCAAATTTTGCAGGCCGACCATAGATATCGGGTGTGCGTCGGCAGGGGATCGAACCTCGGACCATGTGCATGGTCGGCGAGAGTCCTAACCACTGTGCCACCGACGCACTACGAATGAGTGCAGTGAATAATGCGATTAGCATTAGGGGAAAATGTTTACAATTCTGAAAACGACAAAATCAACACATTCGCGAAATTGTAAACGATTTTGAACGATATCATCAAAAGTCTAAAGCTGCGTCTCTTAACAGTACATCCGTCTATAATACACTTGAGGATAAGCCAGACAAAAAAATTCGGATTTTCAATACAAACGTCAAGTCAGTTCTTCTATACGGAACAGAAACTTGGCGGGTCACAAAGAATATTTCCAACAGCCTGTTGCAGACCTTTACTAACAACTTTCTTAGCTCTCTACTGAAGATCAGATGGCCGGGCCAGAAAGAATCACCAACAAGCTACTATGGGAACAAACAAAACAAGAACCAATCGCCAACCAACAAATATGCAGGAGGAAGTGGAGATGGATTGGACACTCGCTAAGGAGACCGTTGAGTGACATCGCGCGTCAGGATGTTGCTCGAGTGGGACATCCAAGGGTGACATGGAGGAGATCATGTGAAGGGAAATTGAAAGAGTATGGACTAACATGGATGCAGGTGAAAAATACAGCAGAAGGAAGACAGAAGCAAGTGGAGACGTGCAGTTGAAGCCCTACATTCCACTAGGAACCCAAGGGAACAATAAATAATGATAAAATATGCCAGACAAATATCCTTCAGTAAAAATTAAAATTTTGAAATTAATTAGTTAATTATCGCAAACCACTGTTTCATTGTTTCTTTGAAAAAAGATTTTACATAACCTGTGAATTTCTCACTTTAAATTGCAAGTATTTCCTCATATGTTACATAGTATAGGCATTAAGCATGAAAACAACAAAAAAGCATGCCCAGATATTGTTCCCCATAAGTTTTTCTGTTTCCGCTTACTTTATAGAATGTTAATTCTAAGGAGATCATAAATTATTACTATTATAATTTACCGTAATAAATACAACCTATAAACATATAATAATAATAACTTTATTCCAAAAACAGTACTAATGATACAGCAAGGAATTTTCAGCATTCAGTACAATATTGCATTTAATTCAAGAACTCACTTGGTTTCGTCAATGGAGCGTTAGGTTTTATAACAGTAATAGAATTTTGATAAGAATCTAATGTTGCAGCAGTATTATGGTCATCACAGGCATGAGAAACAAAGATCGGAAAGTCAAAAGTCTGTTGTCTCCGTAATTCAGATTTCAGTTGTAGAAGCTTATCAATAGGACGATTAACACTAGGACGATTACAAGCTATTATTAAGACTGGAATAGTAACCATATCTGGTAAAACGTGTGTTTTGTTTAACGCTGATTGAAGCTTCATTTGTAGCTTTATCTAACAAAGAAATAAGTATAAAAGAGAAACATCACTCCTTAAAAGTTAGTATGAACACTATATTCACAAATATATTCTTCAAAGGATAAAATAAATATCGATTAATTCAATAGGTTACCTACAAGTGAACACAGATATGTTCATACTATGGTGCAAAAACAACCCAACAGAAAGTTTATAAACCTTATTACATAAAGTGCGCTAGATTTCTTGACACACTCTCTCTCTACGAGAAACAAAAATAAACACACTACGTGTCTGTAAATAAAAAGATAATCCTAGTCCTTTTCACCATTAATTTAACACAAAGGCTCAACTATTCAGTTGAATGTGAACTGATATGTACAAGATTGAGAAATTTAGCTTATATCAACCCCCCCACCCAGTGTATTTGATTTACGCTTAAACAGAGACCTAATCTAACTGGTGTGCAATCTACACAGTGTACATTAGTCGAAAATTACACTTTTGCCCCGTCAGATTGTTGGTGGTCAAACGAAAACATAATAGTTTTTCCTTCACGTTCCCAGTGGAACATAGGGCTTCAAGCTAGTGGCTTGAAGTTTCTGTAGCAGTGTTTTTACTTTACAGGATGGGGTTGCTAGTCTCATGTCCAACCTTTCCTCTTCACCAGCATTATTTCAGGCTTAGCGAGGTAAAGGAATGTGTCGGTGGCCAGGGATCGAACCCCGGACCATGAACATGGTCGGCGAGCGTACTAACCGCTGTGCCACCAACGCACCAAACGAAAACATGGTGCCAGTCAATGAAATCCACAATAATTAGTTTATACCACGTAGAGAGGCGTAGACTACCTGATTGGGGTCTTCGGGATGGTAAGAACCAATGAAGGCTACAGACAATTGGTGATATGGCTCAAAATCGCTCTCAATGACGCAGATGCATTCACTCTTTGTGGTTTATCATATCCAATAAAACTCTATTGTTTTTCCATATTACTTTTCTTTTCCCCTCACACTTCTGTTTCTTAATTCTCTTTTGAATCTCCTCTTACTCTCTTCCCTTCCTTTGTGTGGAATGTGGCAACTCGAACTGCTGCCCATCTGAGCCAGAGTTCTCTGTTGCAACCAGTCAATCAAGTCAGATTGTCAGAAAGTTGTATAAGACAATTATCCTAGCTGAATTAGCTTGAAAACCACATTCAAAACAAGTGTACGTTGTGAAGAGAAAATAAAGTTTTATGACTGCTCTAAACTGAAGTCTTAAATAGAAAAAAGCCATATGACGTAATGATCATTTTATTTCACCTTAAAGTTTAATTTGATGGTAAGAGTAACTTGTGTGTTAGCAAAACGAAATCAGATCTAACAGCCATCAATAAACTAACCCCCCATGATACATCTTAAGGTCAGAGTCAAACACATGCAGAATGACTTGGCCATTGACTGAGTGAGAATCCTTAAATATATGTAGGCAATTAGTGATTGTATTCTAGGAGATCAAAATTACGTAGACAATGAGAATGACTTAGTCTACTTCTGTAAGACTATGCACAGAATACAATATTTATTGGTAAAAATTGATTGGCTTCCCAATAACTTTTGGTAATATTACTGATTGATAATTCACTGTTTTAGAAAGTTTGTCATTAAACCATCTAGGTCATAATTTGAAATAAATGCCAACCTACTAACTATAGACTAACGGCAAGTAATATTTTATTGGAGTATTTTTTTATGTACTGGTATACATTCGGTAGGATCTTATGTGAATAAAACAGTTTACCATGAGTAGCTATTATGATTACACTAAAAACCAACCCAGTCAAGCTCTAGCAATTAAACAGCCAGTTGTTTGCATCACAGTTACATGAAAAGTACACATTGCAACACATAACTCTGGTAGTTTCATGAATATATACACACTTTGAATACCTGGATAAGATTATGACCAATAAATTCTGCTTAAAATGACATTAGTAAATACACAATATGTATGTAACACTGTGACTTTTCAAATAAAAATATCTGATTATAAAAGATATACTCCACTTCATTGTTTCTATGAGAAATAGGATGATAAGAACTAATTTTTCTGTTTGAATGTATGTTTTAGTCTCTTTGATCAGATCGTCGTTAAAGTTGTATTACGTACAGATGTCTGACTGTCTGTCTGTTTTCGACATAGAACTTTGCACATATGTGCGTCAGTTCAAGTCGCCACACTTCCTCCTTGTAACACACAAAGCAAGAGAAAGTACAAGAAAGCATAATAGAGACAGCAAACAGAGGTGTGAGACAAAGGAAGAGTAATAACGAAGAACAAACCAGTTTCATTGAAAATCATAAGTCACAAGGAGTGGATGCATCTGCACCACTGAGAACGATTTTGAGCCATATCACCAATTGTTTCCAGCCATTGGTTTTTACCGTCCTGAGGACCCCAACCGGTCAGGAAGTCTACACCTTCCTACGTGGCTTAGACTAACTGTTGTAGATTTCATTGACTGGTGCCATGTTTTTGTTTGACCGCAGCTAGCTTTTTTCCAGCTTGACCCTATATCCGCTAACACTGCTCGTCGAGGAAGGTGATAACTAGGCATACGTAACACATGTCCTGACCACCTTAGACTATGTAACTTCACAACTTCATGGATTGATTTCCCCTGTTTACCTAGAACTCGACGCCTAACCTCAATACTGCTCACCTTATTATGCCACTCCACACGGGAGACAAAACGCAGGCACCTATGATCAAAGACAGCTAATCTTTTCATGTCTTCCACTCTCAGTGGCCGGGTTTCACAGCCATAAAGGTGGACGTACAGATGTAAATCACTTCTGCTAAATATTGATTGTTATCGGGCTTTGCAGGTTATTAAAAAGTTACATAACTGGTCAGCTACTGTTTGAAATTACAATCTGTGTGCACTCTAAACATCTTCTTTGAACTTAAACGCAAAAACGTTCTAATTAAACCAGTAGGAATGGAAACAATAAGAACTTTTTCATCTCAAACTACACAAAATATCTACTAAATCATTACTAGTTTTCAAATATTTCTTCAGCTAAAATTTGGTGTCAGTAAACAAAAATGCGTGTTATTATTACTATTTTATTCCTTTACATTTCGAGTGGAACACATGGTTTCAAGGCATAGCTTTGAAGTTTCAGTAGCAGTGGGTTTTTTTAATTTTACGGAGTGAGGTTACTAGTCGTACGCCTAAACTTCCCTCTTTACCAAACTACTTACTACTGGCTTAGCGAGTTTTAGAAGTGAGCCGGTTGGGAATCAAACCTCGGATTGCTTGGGTGGTTGGCGGGCGATCTACCACAGAACCACCAACGTACTCGTGTAAATAAATTATGTGCAATCAATCAAACAGACTTTTTACTTACATGTTCATCTAAAGAATTTGACAACTGGTATAATTGTTTGGTCAGTTTAACTGTTTGTGCAACTTCAAATTTATAGTAAGCAGCAAAATGTAAGACAAGATAAATACACATCACGATGACTACCAGCTCTACTATTATTGATTTAATTAACTGATGCCATGACCAAGCTATGAAGTAGTGAGTTTTCTTGAAAAGTCCATTTAATTTCATAGTATTTAATTTCAATAAAACAGCAGGTCAATTATTCAGTGAAACACTGGCACATCAGATTTGCACCGCCGTTAGTGAAATGAGTCAATGTGTTGAATAAACAATAGGTCCATACGCTGTCTGACGTTAAATGTTGTATTGAAATCCGAAATTGTCTTCTGGGAACATACTATGAGGTGCTAGGAAAAAAACATTAAGAACCAACATGATGTAACCAATACTACTAATGAGAAAAAAGTGAGTACTTTACACATTTAAAACATTCATGTGAAACATCTTTTTGACTGATACTTAACAGATACTGTTAAAAATAGGTGAGCTGAAACATATGACAAGCTGCAACACCAACCAGCTGGTGTATCGCTCAAACGTCAGAACTCTCATTTTCTCAGATAGTTTTTCAACAGTATGTTACGTTTTGTCCCTTAACTAGGTTCTCGTACATCTCTCAAGTTAACCACCAAGAAACTACAAGCTTAATTGGTACCTTCATTATAACAGTTACAAAACAGTATAAACCAGAATGTGATATCAGTACAGAAATTGCTGAACTTCAAATCAACAGGGTGAAACTAAACAACCTGCTAATTCAACATTTGTACATAAGACACTGTCGTGTTAAGCTAGTTATAAGCTAAGTCGCAATGAGCTAAATATCGATTTTTTAAGAATTTAAAATACAGTGGTAATGAGACTTTAAACCAGTATTGTATAACGTATAGAAAGCATTGGCTGAAACATACGGTAAAAATCGTCCCACAAATCCCAAAATTATATGGATGCGTTAAAATACACAAACCAACCGCGCCGTTAAGACCTATGCTCTCTATGATAAACTCACCATACCACAAATTAGCACAGTGGCTATGTAAATTGTTGCAGCCCTTGCGAATACGTTTCGGAACATATATAGTTTCTGATTCACTTCAGTTTGTCAACCAAACTAAAAATTTCAATGTATCTGATAAGCATCTGGTATCTTTTGATGTTACCTCCCTCTTCACAAATGTACCAGTTGATGAGACTATTGACTTCATATGTAAAGAAGCTGAAGACATACCAATTCCAACATCGGAATTGAGGAAATTTTTACTTTAATGTGCTAAAAATGTTCAATTAAAATTCCACGGGCGTCTATTCCGTCAAGTTGATGGTGTCGCAATGGGAAGTCCCTTGGGACCACTTTTCGCAGACTTATTCTTGTCAGGCCTAGAAGCCGGTACCTTGCAGCAACATATACAAGAAACGGATGTATACCTAAGATGTGTTGACGACATTTTTATTGTCTGTGGAAGCAGACCAAAAGCCGAAGACTTGTTGACAAAATTCAACTCATGTCATCCGAATCTCAATTTCACAATAGAACACGAGGAAAACGATACTATTAAATTCCTTTTGATTTGATCAAAAATCAAAAATTAAATTCCTAGACGTTTTTCTAGCGAAAATGTCCGATGGCACAATCGAAAGATCTATATTTAAAAATTCTTCATGGACAGGACAGCACATGCATTTCAAGAGCTTTGTTCCAATCCAGTACATAAAGAACTTAGTCTGAACACTGTTCAATAGAGCACGAAAAATTTGTTCTGACAGTACTATTGAGCATGAAATAAAATTTATGAAGGATATTTTATCTAAGAATGGATATCCTAAAAAGTTCATTAATAAGTACACTAAAGAAATTAGCCCCTGCAAAACAATCCAAACAGTTCCGAAGAAATCTGTCTACATCAGTTTGCTATTCAAAGCAGATAATGTACAGGAAGTAATCAAACGAAGACTCGATAAAGCCATCAAGAGAACATTATGCTGCAAAACTTCTTATCCTTAACACCACTAAGCGAGTGCTTCAAAAATCTGGGAAAGACCAGTCGCCAATCCTCGACACCTCAAACTCCGTATATCAATTTGAGTGTTTGTGGAAGCATATACATAGGTCGTACAGAAAGGCGATTGTCTACTCGCATGATGGAGCATTTGCCAAAATGGTTGAAAACAGCTGAGTGCAAAGTGCCAAAATCCTCAATAACAAAACATCTTGTAGATTACGGACATGATATCGACGCAGTCAAGTCATTTGCCATTGTCAGCAAACAAAGAAACAAGAAGATGCTTGCAATTGCAGAGGCTTGTGCAATTCGAGTTTACAAACCAGGTCTCTGTGTACAAAAGAAGATGGTCGTGACTCTGAATCTAGCATGGTAATACGTTTTACTTATTATTCTACCTCATTATTATTATTCTTGATTCAGGACTATCTTAACTCACTTCAACACTATTATTATTGTTATTATAACTAATGTTATTGATATTACACTGCGATTCTTGTTATATTCTCTAATGACTTGTTTATCTAAGTGATGTAATTGAAGCGTAATGCAATTTATCTTAGTTTTGATCTCTCATACTCTCTCTCCTTATCTATTTGAACATGACCTGGAAAACATTCGCACCTGTCTTTCTGCATGATTAATTCAATGTAGTTTGCTAACTTATCAATCTTACATCTCCTAATGTAATTTCAAAAGTATGTATATATCCATGTTTGTAGAGTATTCAGCTGACGAGTTCTACCGAAATTTGATGAATTCATTAAATCCTGCTTTATTAACCTTTATTGCATGTTTTAAACTCGTACCGGGAAATAAATGTTTTCAGACCCACTGAAAGATGTGCATGATAAGCTTTTTTATCTATCTACCTCAATCACCTAGCCTAATTACAACGATGATGGATAAAATCAAGATCACAAGGTGAACATTTGTCAACTCATTCTAGATATTTGTTGATTTACTGCCATTTGTGTGAACTGATCGTAGCAAACTTGCATTTTTTGAATTTCACATGCAATTTTGTAAGAAGTGATCCATAGTAATTGCTTCTACTTTTGTTTGCTGAAAATTCTGTATACATGGTTTTTTTTTCTTACGAAGCGTCTCATTGTAAAACAGCGAAAATGTCCAGCTGCAACTTTTTAACCTAATTTGAACTAAGCAACTGTGGCCATTACCATAAAGAGATAGACAATTTATTTAGAAATAGATTAACGTTACTCTTTATATATCGTACTGAATAACCAATATATAATTTCTTTATGAGGCTATAATACAGAAAACACTCGGAATAAAGAACGACTGTATTTTTTACATCTAACGGAAAAGGTCTTGAAATTCGCAGGAAGATCAGATATATAGAAATGCTATTCGTTCAATCATTAATGGGTAACTGGCTAATAAAGATTACCGGTACATATATCTATGAATGCTCAATCATTCTTTTAATTAGCAACAGGATTTTCGGGGGACACAAATACTCTGACAGAAAGTACAGGAACACTGCTGTATTAAGCTTTGTGTAGTTTATTTTTTATACCTGTAAATGAGCTAAATCAGGTAACGCGAACAAGAGCGATAAAACCAAGTTAAGTAAGTAATTGACTAGAAACTATCACACGTGGTTGTGGTTATTTATGTAAATACGCATGACTTAAATTATTGTTGTTGTTAAACATTTAGGCTCCCTATAAACGCCAAAAGTTCATGGTAAGACTAAAAATGATAAGTTACAGCACGATGACTTATCTCGTGAACTCTGAAATTCCTTATTCATCTGTTTATTGAATATATCACGAAGGGAAACATGATTATTTAATGAATAACGTATCTAAGACTGCAAAATATATCCGGAAGAAAACTACATACTGTCATACTGCTCCAGTATTATATATTATGACAAGCTTGGAAATTTTGTTACGTGCATGCCTGCAATACTGATTATAACCAATATCGTGGTGTTCACTTAACAGACCAATTACAGGAAAATGATAGATAAATAAAGCCGTTACAATACACGGTAAAACCGGTTATGTAGTTCAACTCACTCCCTTCTGAGTTCAGATTTCACTCACACACCACCTTCAATTTGAATTCCCACATGTATTATACTTTCAAAGATGCGCGTAAGCAGTACAAACCGCAAGTGCATCATAAAGCTTAATGAAACTATTTGCAAAATAAGAAGTTTGGTCTCAATGAAGAGGTCTAGGGCACCTAAGAGAACCCACGGTATACGCTGGTACCATAGAAAATTCTGACGTTGGACCACTCAGTGCAAACACTTAGGTACTTTCGACGATAATCAGTGAAACTGAGGAGCTGGACAGTAATAGAGATGGTTGCTACTATCAAACAGTTAGTTCGCCTATTTCACTTGGGGTGTAAAAATACATTCATTTTATTCCTTATGCATACATGGGAAGAAATTAGCCTCAAACTTCCTCCACTAACAAAACCTGTTAGCATAACAAGGAAACTCTCATTATACCAGCGAAAGGGCCCGAAATCTGTTCTCCCATATCATCTTTACTGATAAGTAGTTGGTCTCGGTTCAGAGAAGCACATTATCACTATCGCAAAAATGTGCTCGTACTACACGTTCATCAATGGAGAATGAAGTTGGCGTTATACTTTGTCTTGTGAATTGCTGGTGAAAATGTACCGAAGATTTTCGTGTGAACAAAGTTCTTTGCTATTCGCCTCAGTGGATATTTTGGCAGGGTATCTCACCTCCCCAAGTCGATCACAGAATGCTTGACTGTAGGCACCTCTTTGAATGGTGGTTATCTTTTCTTCGCTTTATCTAATCATTAGCTGTGTACCTACGTGGATGCTTTCCTATAATATCCTGATTAACTCACAAGCGCTCTTATGACTTAATGGACATAACAGGGAAATTGACGTTGAGAAGGGACAAATATATACCAGATTAGCTAAATAGTTAAAGGAGTTGTATTCCAAAGCTGCTGTCAATGTAGTTGAAGATTGAACGATCAATTCATGGTTGTTTGCTCAAACCCAACTTCCCCATATTTTCGCGGGAATCACCAATCCGACAGTCATTGTCTCATAGTTCGCCGTTCGTTGGAAGACAGAAACCTATCAGAAGTATTACTGTGATTTATTATTGAAATATTTGGTCTTAGACCATAGTCTATAATGCCCGTTGTCAGTCACGTCTCCTAAACCGTCAATGCCCAGCTCTTGCTACGCTGGGGCTCACGCGGTGCCTTGAAGTTTCTAAGAAACGCTTAGTTTTAACGGAAGCAAAAATCAAAACACCGATTGGCCACTCCAGAAATCTTTATTGTAACACCAACATATTGACAATTTTAAAAGTAACCTGTAAAACTAAGGTTTCTGACGGTTTTCCCTGACTTCTTTCTAAACAGTGACCGATGAGACGATAACTGGTGTATTGATGCCTCCGCGAAAATTGGGGAAGTTGGTTTTGAGCAAACAACCATGAATTGATCGTTCATTCTTCAACTCCATTGACACTCCCCGGCAATAAAGGGATCCAACCCTTTTTTCCTTCACGACCAATACACGTTGACTTGGATGCCATTGCGAGAACCTGGGTCACACGGACAGAGCTGAAATGGAAAACAAACAGAAAAGCCAACACACCACAAGCATACCCACAGTACAATCTCACACATCGCTGACGACCTGCGCCTCCAGACAGAGACCTCCTCTTGACATCTTGCAACAGAATCGCCACTTGCTAGAATGACTCTTGCAGAATGCGACGTCACCATAGCACCACCTCACGATACTCTACGCACATCCCCTTATCTACTCATTACGAATTACCACTGCAATCGCTTGTCACTCATTCTGCCTCAGTTCTAATAGCGGTGACGCATGCGAGCCTCAGTCGTTTACACTCTTTCTCCCCGGCGTGTCGGACTGCAGCTAACAATTATCTCCGTATGCATTTCGTTCTCAGCAATAGCCTAGCCTCTCCGGCGTATACGACCCATCTGCTGTCTCTAACATCAATCAATTCATTCACGGATGTAGAAGACAAGAAACAACTTCAGAATTAATCACGACGAAAGTTTTAACAAAATTACACAATAACAACAAGGTACGAAAACAACGAATAAACACAATGAATCCAAAAACACCAATTGATATGACACACCACACCTATATACAAACAGTACAAACAAACTCGCAGATCGTGTCTCCATGTAATTCCTTTGAAGAATCGCAGGACTTACACCAGTACGCCTACAACCCTTCACAGGTTGACGATTGTAAGTTGTGGAATGCCCGGACACAAACAAGATTAACCAACAATACAATAATTGGAACTGACAAAAGTATTTAACACAAACATAAGTACAATCAACACATCACATGTTGTGGATTCTGGCTTGACGAACCACCCTTGAAGAACTGTAGGACTTACAGCAGTACGCCTACATTCCTTCTCAGGTTGATGATCCAAAAGAAAGTCGTCCGGACACAAACAGAATTACCAACAGCTAGATGACATATGATATCAATTCAGTATATACAATATGAACATATGTACAAAATCACACACCAAGCACATTGGACTGCTCATTGATGCGCTACCCTTTGGAGAATTGTAGGACTTACAGCAGTACCCCTACAACCCTTCACAGGTTGACGCCCTAGGTTGGAAAATCGTCGCAGAGTTCATTTGCTAACTTCCTTCTATGAGCTATATCCTCAAATCTGAACGGTAACACGCCCATGTCATTGTATCGCAGAATATAGATGACCAACAAACACACGACATATCTCATCAACCAAGTGTAGAAACAGAGTAATTCACACCAAAGATAATAGCATTCAAATAGTAACTTGAAACTAGAAATGCCTTTATTCATGCAAGTCAATTTAACAATTACTCTCTCGTTTACACTTGGCTTATCCTCACTAAACTGAGCAATATCTTTCGTCTTTTCAAACGCACCAATACTATCATAGTCATTGCAGAAGATACTTAAGTTGATGGGCATCTGTTTCATTGTGGATGAAAACACCAACGATGACTGAGTGACACAAGGTGATGAACTTATCAGTGGATCAGAAGCTGTTCTTTTTCGGCTTTCAGATAGTTGTCCAACTGCAAGATTACCACCACTGCTGTCTTTTACTCTCAGCTCAGGTTTAGCAATAGCATCTGATGATAGGTGGGCTACACGCTGATCAGTTGCACTGACGGCCTCACAAGTATCCATGCCTTCTGCAACTGCATCTCAATTTAATTCTAATTCACGTTGTAGTTGTACAGAAGCTTTATTCAACCTAGCAGTGGTAGGCATTCCCCCCAATTCATGCCACTACTATTGGTACGTTCCTCCATAAAAAGGAAGAAATATATATTATTATTATCATGATAAACCAAAGACAAATGTGAAGTATCATGATCATTATCACGAATATTCAATTTACCATCATCTATCTGGTCGACTTCATCATTTTCGAACTCCTTAAAAACAGCAGTGGATGATTTGGGTTCCTCCTCAGAAAACCCTAAAGATTTTATACCCTCACCCTGACTAGTAATACGTTGTAAACTTGTGGAGTCAGAACTGTCCTCTGAGACTGTAACTCTCTTCTGTGACATAGTATTAAACAATGGCTTACTAATTGCAACTACAGGCTTCTTGACCACACCGTTATCGTCACACAATTCGGAGTCAGACCTGGATTTCACATTTAGCTTATCCCTGAACTGGCTCACTGATTCAGAGTTCACCTCCGTATGCACCTCTTGCAAACGTGTAAAACACAACCGTGTTTGTCTTGCATCTTGTAACTTATCTGTTGAGGATGTACTACGAAACCTGTTACACTCACTAGATCTATATGCATTACTAGACATCATGGGGCCTTCTCGATATCCACCTCTCTGAGGCCTATTCGTCATCAATGATTGCGTTTTGCCCTCAGACTGCTCTATTCTAGGGGTGAGATTCAATATGCTGGCAAACTTGCTCATAGATTGATTGACACTATCTTTTACTAGTTTCAGGATATCATCAAATTTTGGCTCGATACCCTCGTCCTCCATACGGGAGCTTATCTTCACCCACTTCCTTTGCATTCGAGTAGGTAGGCGTCTTGCTATTACCTCTAGGACTGAGCTCGAGTTGAGGTCACTCATGCAATTCATCGAAATCAATGCATTCTTGTAAATCAGCAAATTATCCAAAAACTCAGTGAGTGCCTCGGAGTCATATTGTAATTGATCACGATTACCCTTAACAGCCTCGAATAATTTCCCTACAATCATCGAAGGTCTTCCAAACCTTTGACGTAATATGCTCATAGCCTCGTAGTAGCCCTCATTAGGGGGCATGAGCTTACAGCACTGTATAGCTCTTGCAGCATCTCCAGTGCAATACCTCAACAAATACATTAACTTCAATTCATCATTTAATAGAAAACTATTCAGCATGGTCTCAAACTCCTTTACAAATTGTAAATAATCAGTCGGGTTTCCATCAAAACACCGTGGTTCTAATTTAGGGAGTTTGATGTTCCTATTATCCCTGAACGGCGGAACAGTAACATCAACCATGTCATGCTTAACATCAGACACATCGTTACATGTAACAGACAGGCCAACATGACTTACTTTCCTGTTTGCTTCCAAGACGCTCTGTCCCTTCTTTGACCCAGGCATCGTTGAACTTGATCGAATTCCAGAAAAGTTCCAGGTAACTCTTGTTCAAAGGAGACTTGGCGGGCGCCAGGAAAGACGGACGGAGACTATCAAACTCTCACCAACTCTCTGAATCCGCCAGAATCTGTTTCTACCGTCAGAAACTGTCAGCCACGTCTCGTAAACCGTTAATGCCCAGCTCTTGCTACGCTGGGACTCACGCTGTTCCTTGCAGATTTTCAGAAACGCTTAGTAATAACGGACGCAAAACCAAAACACCGATTGGCTACTCGAGAATTCTTTATTGTAACACTAACATATAGGCAACTTTAAAATTAGGTTTTAACTAAGGTCTGTGAACAAATATTACAATAGTGAATCACAATATTACTTCTGACAGTTGTCTCCTGACTTCTTTCTGAACAGCGATCGATGAGACGATGACTGTCATGTTGATGCCTCCGCGAAAATTGGGGAAGTTGGTTTTGAGCAAACAACCATGAATTGTTCGTTCAATCTTCAAATACATTGACAGTTGGTGTTACAATAAAGAATTCTCGAGTGGCCAATCGGTGTTTTGGTTTTGCGTCCGTTATTACTAAGCGTTTCTGAAAATCTGCAAGGAACAGCGTGAGTCCCAGCGTAGCAAGAGCTGGGCATTAACGGTTTACGAGACGTGGCTGACAGTTTCTGACGGTAGAAACAGATTCTGGCGGATTCAGAGAGTTGGTGAGAGTTTGATAGTCTCCGTCCGTCTTTCCTGGTGCCCGCCAAGTCTCCTTTGAACAAGAGTTACCTGGAACTTTTCTGGAATTCGATCAAGTTCAACGATGCCTGGGTCAAAGAAGGGACAGAGCGTCTTGGAAGCAAACAGGAAAGTAAGTCATGTTGGCCTGTCTGTTACATGTAACGATGTGTCTGATGTTAAGCATGACATGGTTGATGTTACTGTTCCGCCGTTCAGGGATAATAGGAACATCAAACTCCCTAAATTAGAACCACGGTGTTTTGATGGAAACCCAACTGATTATTTACAATTTGTAAAGGAGTTTGAGACCATGCTGAATAGTTTTCTATTAAATGATGAATTGAAGTTAATGTATTTGTTGAGGTATTGCACTGGAGATGCTGCAAGAGCTATACAGTGCTGTAAGCTCATGCCCCCTAATGAGGGCTACTACGAGGCTATGAGCATATTACGTCAAAGGTTTGGAAGACCTTCGATGATTGTAGGGAAATTATTCGAGGCTGTTAAGGGTAATCGTGATCAATTACAATATGACTCCGAGGCACTCACTGAGTTTTTGGATAATTTGCTGATTTACAAGAATGCATTGATTTCGATGAATTGCATGAGTGACCTCAACTCGAGCTCAGTCCTAGAGGTAATAGCAAGACGCCTACCTACTCGAATGCAAAGGAAGTGGGTGAAGATAAGCTCCCGTATGGAGGACGAGGGTATCGAGCCAAAATTTGATGATATCCTGAAACTAGTAAAAGATAGTGTCAATCGATCTATGAGCAAGTTTGCCAGCATATTGAATCTCACCCCTAGAATAGAGCAGTCTGAGGGCAAAACGCAATCATTGATGACGAATAGGCCTCAGAGAGGTGGATATCGAGAAGGCCCCATGATGTCTAGTAATGCACATAGATCTAGTGAGTGTAACAGGTTTCGTAGTACATCCTCAACAGATAAGTTACAAGATGCAAGACAAACACGGTTGTGTTTTACACGTTTGCAAGAGGTGCATACGAAGGTGAACTCTGAATCAGTGAGCCAGTTCAGGGATAAGCTAAATGTGAAATCCAGGTCTGACTCCGAATTGTGTGACGATAACGGTGTGGTCAAGAAGCCTGTAGTTGCAATTAGTAAGCCATTGTTTAATACTATGTCACAGAAGAGAGTTACAGTCTCAGAGGACAGTTCTGACTCCACAAGTTCACAACGTATTACTAGTCAGGGTGAGGGTATAAAATCTTTAGGGTTTTCTGAGGAGGAACCCAAATCATCCACTGCTGTTTTTAAGGAGTTCGAAAATGATGAAGTCGACCAGATAGATGATGGTAAATTGAATATTCGTGATAATGATCATGATACTTCACATTTGTCTTTGGTTGATCATGATGAAATGAGGGGAATGCCTACTACTGCGAAGTTATCGCGGTACGTTCAACGTTTATTTTACATTTTCACGTGATTCTTTACATAAAATTTATCTTGTTTTAGTACTTGCACAAGTACTATACCACTTCCATACTTGTAACCACTAACTCTCATTTCTAATAGTTATGGTTAATCAAAGTAAAAAGCAACGAACCCAATCCCCTGTAAAACTGGTGTCTAATTTAACGTCCTTGATTGCTACATCAAGCAACACACCCCAACAAACGGCTATAGTGAGTCACATAACTCACGTGTATGCCGTAAGCGTCGAGCTGAAACTGAGGATAAAACTGTACTGACAGCCAGTATTAGCACTACTCCTAAAAATTCGGTACCCTCTGCTCATACAGAACTCCTCCCTTCACCTTATGTGCTTATGAAGAAACTCCAGCCATCAAGCTCTTTTTCAGTACTATCTTCAGAAATAGAACTTCTAAAGTTGTCTATAGGAGAACTTAAGGCTGAGTTAAGGGAAATAAAAAACAGTAAGTCAGTAAATGCTGGAAACATCGAAACCAATACCGAGATATCCAAATTATCAGATCAGATCAGCGATATCAGATCGCAGGTCTGTGAACTGACACCTCTAACTATCCTCATGAAAACGGTAAACCTTAACAAGCTTGACACAGAATCGGTAACTAAGGTAGATAACCTCATTAACTTTGTTACCACAGAAGTAACAAAACGACTCGACGCAAAACTGAGTGCTATTGTCTACAACGTTCCGGACAATGAGGCACTAAAAAAGGTACAGCGCATCTTACTTAGTGAAGCGAAAATGCCTAACTCCAAGACTAAGTGCTACAGGCTGAAGAAGAGTCAACATGAAAAGTGTTGTCCTATTCGTTTTCAGTTCGAAACACCGGCAGAGACCAGAAAATTCATTCACTCCCAACACACCCTATCGCAAGCCAGAAACTACAAACATATAAAGGTCGGGGTGGACAAAACAGTTAGAAAGGCGCGCACACAACTATCTCACTAAGACTAATTGTGAAATAGGTAATAGGACATTGCAAGCAGCCATTATTCCCAACCCTGTGAAAGATACAGTAGACCCCACCGCATCACCCCTCTCAAAACACACAGAAATATCCCATCAGAGTGCAACACCAGCCGAAAGGCCACTAGACTGTAACCAAATAAATAATAAAACCATACCACCCATCACCGCAGAATCTAAAATGCCACTAAATAACCCCAGAAAAAAAGTTAAAACCCCCCGAAATTCGACTTTGTCCTCTCCTAGCTATAATTCCATTGGTAAAGATAAGGAAAATATGCCCCTAAATCATACCAACAAAAACAGTGGCAGCTTAAATAAGCCCACACTCCCCACGGTTAATAGTATTAGCACTCACAACGTGCTAAATCGCACCGTGGCACACACTAATATCCAATGTCACAACGATGTCACCCTCAATAGTACAAGTGGTAATAGTCAGAACTCGGCTACCAACAACTCAGGGTCTTCAGAGTATGGCACACAAACAAATTTCGACCGGATATATGGTACAAGTCTGCTGGGAACTAACCCAAAATGCAGTACACACGAAACCCACACAAGGACACAACTAGCATCAAACAATAGGTGGAATAATAAGCCATGGTCATCACAAGGATCCAATCATTTTTTATCCCCCGCGTCCCTGTCAGCGTTGAAAAAACAGCTGGTAGGGATGTTAACACTCCTAAACCACTAGTGCTGGCTCCCTCCTTGCATGAAAACAGGAACGGTCTAGTGCACCCGTATCCATTGGACACACTTGACACTTGCACAAGTATAGGCCAAATAAAGAACCCTACCCACTTCTGTAACCTAACTAAAAATAAAAGTTCCTTAGTCTATAGCAAATCCAGTACTCCAACTCCTAATTCTCCACCGAAAACAGCACACAACAACTCGATAGACATAGGTGAGCATGATGCTGGAACTCCTCTTAACATAGGATCGTCATGTCAAGCAGAACTACTGGGTGCTGAACCATATTCGGGGCTGACTAACGAACTTAAATACTTCAAATGCTACTTCAACTCTCATCTTTACTAATCCTCATAAATGCTAGATCTGTTCTAAATAAATTGCCGATGCTCAGAGCACTCACAGTAATATACAAACCCCCTGTAATTGTCATCACTGAATCTTGGTGTCATTCGGACATCCTGGATGAAGAAATAAGCTTAGATAACTACACACACTTTCGGTGTGACAGGGAAGGTGGTAAGGGAGGGGGTTGTCTCATGTACTTTCTGAATGAACTTACTGTATCACAGCTAGAAAGTAGTACACTTAACATGCCTGAGACTCTATGGGTTAATGTACACTTAAATAACGTAACAGCATTAATTGGATGCTCCTACAGAGCACCTGGCACCTTTAGTAATTACGAGACCCAACTTATTAATACTCTGGAGCAATTAACCGACTTACAATACGATCATAAGATCCTATGTGGGGACTTTAACTTACCTGAAATCAACTGGGATATACCCACAGGCCCAACTAAATTTGATAAGTTCTTAGACACACTGGATATACTTGGCTGGAAACAAACTGTCACTACTCCCACAAGAGGTAACAACGTACTAGACTTAATCTTCTGCCACAATATAAGCCCCCTTTCAACGCTAGTAGGTTCTGAGTTTCCAGGGAGCGACCACAAAACAGTAATGTGTGCACTGCCAATTCCGCTGAGTAGCAATGCATCTCATACCTCCACTTCACAACAAGTAATATATAGGAACTATAGTAAGGCAAACTGGGCCTTAGTTGAATCGATGCTAAGATCCTCCAAATGGGATGAATACTTCACTACTGATGACCTATCGAGAGCCCTAACCATCTTCTACCATAACTCAAACATATGCTTAGATGCTGTCATTCCACTCCAAACACTAAAGGTTTCCCCACACAGAAAGTCATTCATAAAACCAAAGGATCGTAAGAAACTGAAGAAACTCTCAACAAGTTACTTCAAACACCACGACTTTGGCACTCTAGGTCTAATACTTAAAACCCTTAGCTCCATCACACAAGCTCAAGATTTCCGTATGAGAAAGGAAGAACGCATCGCAGTAGCCAGTCCTGCTAGAGTGTATGCACTCACAGAAATCTTAAGGAAGCGAATGAATCGCAAAAATCACAGCATTTCTCTCCTCATAGACAAAGGCAGGCTATGCACTAACTCTGCAGACATATGTGAACTATTCAACAAAACGTTTGCAGGTAACTACCTTAAGCCCTCAGTCCAGCTACTCGATATACACCCTATTACTAAAATGGCACAAACTCCAACTCCACTGACACCAAACCAAATTAGCACTGTTCAATTCACTTACGCTAATATTAACCAAACTATAAGAACCCTCAAAAGTTCAAAAGGTTTCGGTACCGACGGTATATCATCTTACTTCTATAAATATGGTGGCCCTGACATTCCTCTACTGCTGCTTAAAATATTCACAATGTCCCTAGAAACCCAAACTTACCCTGACATATGGAAGACAACATTCATTATGCCTAAACACAAATCTGGCTCGAAAACTGAAGTCAGTAACTACCGGCCAATCAATATCACACCTATAGCATCTAGAATCATGGAGAGACTAGTCAAAGATAACTTAATCAAACATATGCTTAGCTGCAACATCATAAGTCCGAACCAACATGGATTCCTGAAATCCAGATCATGTTTAACATGTCACCTAGACTTCTTCAATTTTGTAACCAGCAGTCGTGACAGACGGCAACTAGTACTTGTCATCTACTTTGACATTTCTAAGGCATTTGACCGTGTTGACCATTTACTGCTAACAAATAAACTGAACTCCTTAGGAATACGTGACCCATTATTAGGATGGCTTAAATCATTCCTTAACAATAGGTCCCAAATAGTTAAACTCGGGTCTGCAACCTCCAAACCTAGCCCTATCACTTCTGGTGTAGTACAAGGTAGTGTCATTGGACCCCTCCTATTTACACTATACATCAATGACATATGCGCTTGCTTCACGCACGGGAAACCATTCATCTTTGCAGATGACCTAAAAGTAGCTTATACATTCCAACGTGATGACTTAGGGAACTTCGAGAATGTAGTACAGAAGGAATTAGATAAAATGGCTGCTTGGTCGTCCCTATGGAATCTCCAATTTAATCTGAACAAATGTGGCTGGATCTGCTTCGGTGCACCCTCAATTGACCTGAAATTAACGCTCCAATCTGCTAACCTAACAAGACTCCGAAGTGTCGTTGACCTAGGCTTGAGGTACTCTAGTGACTTGACATTCTCAGAGCAAGTAGCATCACAGACTAGAAAATCGAGGATGCTCTTAGGATGCATACTCAGGAACTTTCACGACAATGAAGCCAAGCTAATTCTGTACAAAACATGTGTCAGACCACTACTAGAATACTGTCCATTTATTAATAATAATAATAATATATATTCTCATTTTTTACATGAGGGACGCCAGTTTACAGGCATCATCAATTCGATAATTTACACATAATATTAATAAGCATATTTAGTAAAGATAATATAACAAAGTACATTTTTTTCCCTAGCTATGTAGGGTACACCAATTGTATAGGCATGGATAAATATTGTTTTAATAATAATAATAAATTCATTCCTGTTTATGCAGGAACATTCCTATTGTACAGGCATGGATAAGTTATTATATAAATTACACATAATTTGATGTATAATGGACTTACAGTTTGGTTGTTCTTTCTGACATCAAAGTCAGTCGGAGCAGTCTGCTATAAAGTCTGTTTGTGTAGCACATAAAGAGATATAGAAATATTGTCTTCGCGTTAACAAAAAACCCAGACATCAGGTGAATGTAATACAAATATCTGGGAAAAATAAAGCTTGAAGTCAATTCTCCTATATAACTTTATTGTGAACAGCACCCTTGGCTTAAAGATTATTGATGTATTATGTTGAGATCAGTGATATATTTATTCCATTTTTCAGCAGTCTTATCGTAGTTTCATAACAGGAAAGAAATTTGATCGTGGATACGAAAACTAGATAAGGTCATGTTGGGTTGTTTTACTGCATCAAGTGGTGCCGAGGTCGATTCCAGAATCCTCCATTTGTTCCATTTGTATCTGCATGGCGGACTGTATTCGTAAGTTGAGTAAGATGTTGGAAACTGTTTGAAAACCAGTTGCTTCTTCATTTCAGATCATGAATACTCATTTACAGCATGTTTGCCAGCCTCTTCAAATGGTAGAATTGGATCGTTCCTGGAATTTGAGTGATTATGGGATAAATGGTTTGGAATTAATCATAGCAGTTAGAATACAGTTAAACATGCAGAGAAGTACTTTTGATTCAGCAACCGGTGAATTTTTTATTCTTTTCGATCTAGTACCAGAATAACTGCGAACCATTCCATTCAATATGTCGAATAAGGCACGCAGGAGGAGATCATTACCATCGAATGAATCAACTTGATCTGAGATGCAGCTTTCAGCATGTTTTCGTTATATCATAGATATCCAGGTTTATTGGCGTTGTAGAGGCAGTGATTTGGATTATGACGTATTCTACAAAGTCTCCGTGCCCATTTGAAGTATACATGTGCTTTGAAAGGATTACTTTGTTGGCTCCTACCCCCACTGAGTGTTAACAACAGCTGCTGTGGGTTTATGTATTTCCTCGCCTTTTTGGATAAAACATCGCCGCATTCTTTTTGGGTTGGAGACCAGTTGGTGGATTATAAATGATATCCAAGTAACTTTTATCTTTTCATGTGGTGTTGCGGTAAGTTTCTACCTTGTTTTCTCATATTTCATTCGTATGTTGATTATGGTTCGCCCTTTGTATCAGGTAGACATAGTTTGATCGACTCTTGGTTGAATGGGTGTTATTGTCATATATATTATTATAAGCAGCACTCGCACACGCGACAAGCTAAGGATGGAAAGTACCCAACGATATTTTACCTCAAAACTGCTTGGCTACGATTGTAAGAAAGACTACATCTCACGGTGCATGATCCTAAAACTCGACCCACTTTGGACAAGGCGACTTATTATAAACCTAATATTTTTCTTTAAGGTCCTTCACAAAATATCTTTCTCAGGTAACAGGGACATACAATTCGCACAGGAAGGTTCTTACGATCTGCGTAACCAAACTTGCACAGTGACAACTCATTCTTTTAGGTCAACACTCCGTGAAAACTTCTTCACAGTCATGTATTCTAAAATATGGAATAGCCTACCCCTAGGTGTCAGAACTAGCTCTTCGGTTACAAGCTTCAAACGCTCTCTATACAGACTGTTTCACTCTACTGATTATATTAATAAACTATTTACTCCTAGAACGAATCAATCACTAATCTACTACAGCACCTAAAAGACGCACTTCAAAACCCTTGGCAATCTTTAAACTATAAATAAACTAGCAGCATGGATGCATAAAGACATAGTGCGGAACATACAGGATTAGTTTACCCTTAGAAACAGGACCTATCCCTGATTGTAACCTTCAAATGCTTGCTATATACTGTTTTGTCCAAATGATTACCCCTACCAGAACCCATCACTTATTTCTAAAACGCATCAGTCATTAGAACACTAAAACGCTCAGACTCATTAATACACATTATGACATTGAATAAACTCTAAGACTTCGCATAAATACGTGAAAACAAATACAATATAGAAAAAAGTTTACTTAAGTATAATATACAACATTTATAAATGCATAATATATAAATGTCCTTTTCATGTTCACATACTTTCTCTTTCTGGTATTTTGCTGCTCCTATTCATCTTCTGGTCGAGGTCGAACAACCCTGCATCTTAACTGAAATGAGGATTAATTCCAAACCGTCTATCTCATAACCACTCAAATTCCATGAACGATCCAATTCTACCATTTGAAGAGGCTGGCAAACATGCTGTAAATGAGTATTCATGATCTGAAATGAAGAAGCAACTGGTTTTCAAACAGTTTCCAACATCTTACTCAACTTACGAATACAGTCCGCCATGCAGATACAAATGGAACAAATGGAGGATTCTGGAATCGACCTCGGCACCAC